CATTTCAGGTATAACCACATCCTGGATTGGCATTATGTACTTCAAAGAACTCTGAAAAAGGCAAGGTAAGCCCTCTCTCCTATTGCCATACCATGTTTACTCAATGATAATCTATTTACATTATTTAATTTAAATCAACTGAAGATAATTATAGCACAATATATTTATTAATTTCATTCAAAGCTTGAGACTTTACAGGCACTTCTTCTGAAATTGCATGTCCAGTGATTTTGTAGTGGAAAAGCTTGTGTACCTGTGGGTTCTCTCTCTCTCTCTCTCTGCTAATTGTCCCATACATAAATTCTTTGTGTGCATATAATTAGTCTAATACAATAACTGTTTTAAATAATTAACATTATTTCTAGCAAGACATTTAATTAATACAAAGCTTTATCCTCTTCACAAACAGAAACACAGGTTCACAAACTTGTGTCAGCTTGTGTCTCTCCAATGAGAATACTCCAAATATGTGGTAAGTCCTTCCCCACTTGCTTCTCCACAGCACTGCTAGTTTTGATGTCCTGCTCCAGATGTTACTAAGAAGCTCTCATTATAGAGAACACAACATGATGTATATAACCTCCCTCTGTATACTCTTTTTGCCCTCACAACCAACTAAAACATACTTTTCAGAAGCACTTTGAGCCAATAAAAATATACTTCTTATCATCAAACATCCTCCCTAGATTTATAATTCATTTATGACATTACTAAGCTACTTTTAAGGTATACTAAACTAAATTGGCCCATTTTCTATCTCTGTTATTTCCCTCTACACTTCTCACTTAGAATGACATCATAATGTTTCACTTTCCACTCTCTACATCTTTTGGTTACCCTATCCATCTGAGGTTTGTTTATTTGTTATCAGTAATTATATGTGGATTTTGTTTTATTTACCAGCTTGTATTCCATTATTGTCATTCTTTATTTTCAAGTTCTAATTGCCACAGACTTGATCACTGAGACACTAATGCTGAGTCTTGGTGTTCCTTTGACATGGCCACATGATTCTTTTTATAGTACTTCCTTAATTTATTGTACTTTCTCTATATTCCAGGCATTTTTGGGAGAGTGGAGATTTTAACCTATTCCAGTCTTGGAATCAATGGTTTCTTTAATCCTAGCTCCTTTCATAGGGCCATTGCTTCTGACCTCTTTCAATGTACATATTTGGAATTTCATTCTGGTGCCTTTGATCTATTCTAATCCCACCGAGCATTCAGAACTGCTTTATCCATGTTATTACAAATTAGGCCAAATAAAATTTAAATTTATTTGATGCTGTTTATTCTCCATAGATTGAGGGGTACATAGTACAAGTATTGTGTTCAAAATTTAATACTAAATCAAAGATTAATTCAAAATTTTAGTTTTGTTTTCTCACTTTCTGAGGAACTTTGTTATTTAATTGAAATATAGTTGAATTTGTTTGGTCCTATTTGGATTTACTTTTAGATTTGCCCCCATTTTTATTGTTCTAATTTAATGTTTGAATACATAGAACACATACTTTCAAAAGTCAAAACTATACAAAAAATGTATACTCAGACACTTGCAGCATCCATTCTCTTCTCTATTCCCTCCTACTTCTTGTAGACAACCAATTCCATTGGTTCCTAACTTATTCTGTTCTTATTCCTTTCTGTAAAAATAGCAATACCTACTTCTTATTTATTCTTTTCCACACAAAAGGCACCCTGTTAATACTTACGCAGTTTGCTCATTTTACTGAGATATCCTAGAAATCATTCCTGTAAGGTCCACTCTGGGAAGGCGGGCAGACTCCTCCCTCCTCACGGCTAAGTCTCCACCCAGTATCTGTGTTACCTAGGCAACTGGCACACCTGGAGAAGGTCACATTGGCATCCACTGAGGTCACATCTGGAACTGATGAGGCCACACCCTTACCCCACCTGGTCACATCTCCCCTTACTAGGTCCCACCTCCCTCTACCCGGCCAAAACTTCTACCCCTCCAATACCCTAGATAAGGCATAGCCCAGGGTCAGATGCTCTCTTTTCCAGCCACATGGAGTGCCAACTTGGCCTAGGACCAGCCAGTTGGCTGAATAAACCTATCCCTTGCCTGAATACCACACAAGGTGTTCTCCTTACAAGGCAGCCTCTTTTAATTACCTAACAATTCCATGTCAATTAATAGAGACCATTCTCATTCTGAATGCTCACGTTGATTCAATTAGGTGTACATTCCATACACCAATCAATCTTTTATGTTTGGGCACCTATATCATCTGCAGTATTTTGAAATTATAATATTCCTGGTCCCTGGTGGTTCATGCCTCAGGAAATTAGGATCTGAAGACTGAGGTTTGAAGCTAGCTAGAACAGAAAAGTCTGAGACATTTTATCTCCAATTAACCAGCAAAAGCTAATGATGGAGGTGTGGTAAAGTAGCATAACAGTCTTGAGTGAAAATGCCAAGTGAAAGCTGGCACACACACACACACAAAAAGAGAAAAATGGAGAGGAAGGAAGGATTTATAAGTATTTCTGCAATGAATAAATTGTGCACTTGTATTTTTGTATTGTTGGAACTACATCTTTTTCAGTTCCCGAGGGAATTGACACCATTTGTTCTCAACTATATTTCAAGTATCTAAAGAAGAAATAATCAAGTAATTTTTAGAGAAGGGGGGAGGAGGAGAGGGGGAGAATTAACTCTCAAAAATTCCAAATAGGATTGCTGGGGCAAAGGGTAAATGCAAATATCCTTTCCCCCTAGAGATAACTCCACTCTGCATTCTTCAGCTCCAGCAGAGCCTCCCTTTCCCACAGCTTTACCAAAACAGTACATGGTTAAGCTTTTAATTTCCACCACAGTGAGGAAGGCCAATGCCTTCTTATTCTAATTTGCATTTTTCTCTATATGAGTGAAGCTGTATTTTTTATATGTTCAAAAGAGCTGTATTTTTTCATATGCTCACTCAAAAGACATTTTTGCTATATTGTGAATTGTCTGTTCATATGTTTTAATTACTTTTTTCTATAAAAATTTGAAAGTTTCTCCTCAATCTTAAAACGTTTCTGATATATTAGGAGTACTTCAATGAACTATATGTTGCAAATATTTTTTCCCTTTTGACTTTGCTTATGGTGTTTTGTGTTTGTGTTTGCTTTATGTAGGTTTTGTGATTTGTTCTTATTTTCATTAAAACTAAGCTTTCTCTTTTCTGGCTCTGGATGTTCAAGTTAGAAAGCCTTTTCAAGCCTTAGATATACTTACCCATTTTTTTAGCGCTTGTATTTTATTTTCAGTAGTTTAGCTCTCTGATCCACTTAGATTTCTTTCTTGGATATTTTTTGAATAGTAGGACTAATTATGTATTTCTCTAATTGGTCACTTATTTTTCACAAGTGCATTTATTGCAAAGCCCATCCAAGCCCCACTGATGTGAGCTGTCACTTTCTCATACATTAAATCCCCATATCTATAATTGAGCCTCAGTTTAACACTTTCATTCTACTGATATATTCATCCAAGTTCTAGTATAATGCTTTTAGCCTGTTCATTCTTTAGATTGATGAAATAAGAACGTGACTTTTCAAACTTACTATTTGTGGTTTGTACGCCAAACCATTGAATAGTTAATTCAGCATAGCCAGCAATATTCTACTCTTAATTGTTTTTCTGCCTCAATGAACCACACATTAGAAGAGGAGATGGAGCTGCCTGTGATATTGCACACCTATAGCTCCACCTATGTGGGAGGTGGAGGAAAGAGAATTGAGGTCTGAGTGCAGCCTACTCAAAAGCACAAGGCCCTATCTGAGAAAAGCACAAAGGGCTGGCAGGCAAGGGCTCAAGTTGTAGAAAACTTGCCTAGATAGCTACTGTAAGACCATGGGTTTGTTCACTACCACAGGAAAGAGAGGAGAGACAGAGACAGAGACAGAAAGAAGTAGTCAGAAATTGTCATTACTGTTAATACATTAATATAAAACTAACAGAAATGGGATCCGACTCTAAAATCGATACAAGTTTATACCTGCCTGTATTTTGGTAACCTCTTGGGGGAGTGCATCCCTTCTGGAGCAGGAGACATAGTGCTATTCCTACCAGCAAGCCAGTGTGGCCTGGCTTGTTTCAAGATGTCTCCCAGCCTGGGTTCCCATGTTGTTCCACATGTTCCAGCATGTGCCTACAGCTGCCAGAAATGCAGTAGTAACAGGAGAGCCTGGGGAGATGAAAGCTGGCCCTCCACAGCCATCGAGAGCACTCCAGAGCACAGCTGTGTCTGGGTTACAGTGATTAATGTGATGTGAATCCCAACAAAAGTGACAGCAGAGAGTTCCTGAGAGAACATTTATAATCAATAAATGAAACACACTACTCCCATCAGACTCATTATCACCATGAAAAATCATCCTGAAATTACACAAGAAATGTGGCCATGGAGCCATTACTGGATGATTGGCAAAGCCTCTACTTTTAGGCTCTTTCAGCATCACAGCCTGGAATCCAGCTTTGAATGGACCCACGACCAGAGTTCATACAACAGTACCTACAGAACCTCCACTCAAGCATGCTGTCACTTATCAATGAGAAGAAAGCACTATTGCAGCCTCTGTGGTGGTTCCAATTTGTTATTACTGCTGAGATGTAGCCACATCTTCAACAGAGACCTAAGATTCATCACCAGGACTGGACCACCCTGGTGGCCAGGGTTGAGTCTAAGAACATGTTTATTATATCACTGAAGGAATATGAATATGTGTGAAAAGAGGAGGGGGTCACAAGAGAAGACACAAGCAAACAAGGAATGTTCTGTGCTCACCAGACACCTTTCAGAAACATACCTCGTTCTCAGATACTTTTCAGCAACCTGGCTTGACAAACTATACATACATATAATCAAGTTATATGAAAACCAAGAGTTATTGAACTCTAATGATGAATGATACAATTGCTTGTCTCTAGAAAACCTGCACTACAGAATTGGAGAAACACAGCCTTCCCCAGAGGCCCTGTGGACTCACGGTGCTGTCGATGTATGCTTCGGTCCACACAACGTCATGTTCTTGGTCAATGACTTTGGGCCGGCTGAGAACATGGAGATATTCCATGACATTTTCTTGCACATCCGCCAAAGTGGAGATCTGGGTGAAAAATCCTGTTAAAATCCAGGAGAGAGCGCAGCTTAGTGACATAAAGGAGCCCCTGAAATGAGAACATGCATATGCCAGGCCACTTTGCCCTTATTTTCTTTTCCAAGTGTTAGATCTCATCCTCACTTCGTGGTTAGTATGTATTGTGAGAAAATAGTTAAGCAAAAGAGGTAAAATTTAAAGTATCCAGAAACAACCCATCCCACCCCACCCCCCAGGAAGAAATCAGTTAACTCTTTGGAGAAGAGACTCCTAGTCTTTATAAACACAAATGAGTGTTTTCTCCATGCCAATTGCTAATCTCTTTTTCATATGAGAAAGTTTATTTCCAAGGGAAAAATTATGAGCCATACAAACAAAAGGCAATCTCATTTTTATACTGTTAACAGTAGTCATTATGACTGATGTGTGAGTGTTTACTAAGTGCCACAACACTTGCTAAATCCTTGATAAGCTTGTCTCATTTACTACAACATAACATGAGGTGTGTGTGTGTGTGGTATTGTATGTCAAAGACATGGGAAGGCAGCCGGAGAACACATACTCTGAGATCCAGATATTCCCTAGCCTCTAGTGGCAAATAGAGAAAGAAAACCTAGGGTATGAGTCTCTCCTGTACCTTAAAAAAAATATTATCTTTAAGTAGTTGTACAATGGAATTGCCATTTAACAAAGTAGTTTATGAATACAATGAATCTCGATTAATGTCCCCTTTCAACATTCTTGCCCAATCCACCCCTTCCCTCCATTTTCTTAATTTTGTAGGCTGTATACTGAATTCTTGACTGCATTCACCAAACTTTCTCCTCTTCATTCATCCAACCTTCGCCCTGTGACCCCACTCCACCCCCCATTTTTTGTTGAACTTTTACTTTAGCCCAGATGCCCTTCAGTGGACAAAGGGGTCAAGAAAATGTGTCATACAGACACATGGAATTTTACTCATCCATTAGAAACATGATATTGTATAATATGGAAAGAAATGGGAATATTGGGAAAAGCATGTTAAATGAAATAGTTGAGGTGAGAGAAACAAAAAATGCATGGTTTCCCTTATATGTGGAAATTAGAATTAGCTTATGAGCTTATAAGTAAATATGTTGGGTGGTATACAAATATATATGGATGCATTAACTGAAATATGAGACATTCAAGGGAGAACTCAAACAGTGTAAATTCTTCTGTACCTTTTGTTTCTTGTCCCCCCGCCCCTCCTCCCAGAATTTTTTGAGGCAGAAATTCCAGCTCACCCCTGCATGGAACTATCAGAATTGTCTTTTGCACATGCTGGGTAGACGTGTTTTTTCAGTAATAGTAGAAGTTCTAAGCACACTACTGTCCCACAGAGGAGGATGTCAGTTTGATCTTAAATTCAGGGCAATGCTGAATTCAGGGGCCTATGGGCTTTGTTGTAGGTTAGAAGATGTAGAAAGGAAGGGAGACTGAGATTAGGTCTGGCTCCCCAGGAGAGAGGCCTGCATTCAAGCTTTTATTTAAGCTCTCTCAGTGTCCAATATAGGAGGATCCGTGGGTAAAAAGATGAATAAGGCCATGCAAGGAGGGCCAGAAAGATGGGAATGAACAGCCACCAAACAGCACAATCAACAACATTAAGTTAGAGAACACTACAAGATAACCAAAACCAAAAACACAAACACAATACACATGGATACCCTGAGCCAGGTGTTGCTGAGAGCTACAAGATGAGCACAGTTGGGCAGCAGAGGAGGATCCAAGGAACTTGTTTGGAAAAGTAAGCTGTATACAGACAGGACCAAGGTGAGAGAGAATCGGGCCCCTTCTAGGAAATGTACACAGCTCACAATGGTTAGCGTAAAGGCAGAAACAGAGGACAGGCATGTCAGGGTGTGGGTAAGAGCTGAGATTTTATCCAAAAGGCAAGATTGTGGGAGGACTTTAAGCAGGGAGACACTAGATGGACACAGTTTAACATTTTCTATATCAATCAAGACCATAAGTTTATATTTGTTCCTGTGTACGCACACGTGCGCGCGCGCGCACACACACACACACACACACATAAATTCAAGGGGGCATGTGTACCTCTGAAGTCATTTCTGTCACAATACCGTACATCATTTATAGAAAAATTCCTTGTGTCTAAACTAAGATTTAGGGTATGGAAATACCAGCCCTTTGTCCATGAAGGGTCGGGACCCTCCCTGAGCATTTCTAAACAAAGGCCAGCTGGTTTGAATTTGGTGTGCCATCCCCAAAACAGGTTGGGGCCATGTGGCTTCTGGGCTCCTGATGACAGCTCTGCATAGTGCTAATTAGCATGCATTATCGCTCTTGCCTGTCCCATTCCCAGGCCAGGGCCAGAGCCAGGCCCATTCCAGGGAACTGTGCCCCCAAGCAAGAGTGCCTATTCTAGTTAAGAGACTGGGGGTAGGACCTATGAGTAGCTACCTTGGCAGTCTGGCTCCACAGTTAGGGCTCTCTCTCAGTGCTCCTAGGCAGTCTCTCTTAGAAGCATGATGAAATTTTAGGGGAGACAGACAAATATACCATGACCATGAGCATTATCTTCCATGCATGGTGGCTACAATTAATGTTTGAATAAGAAAATGTTTCTGTTACCAAAAGTTTAGTCCTGGAGTCAATTTACAAATAAGAACACAGTTTCAAGGAAAAGGAAAATTGAGAGCTTTTAACATTAATTTGCCAGGTGAATGAGGGGGACAATGAAATCCAGTCTCAAAGCCCGCCATCATACTCCTGAAAGAAAACATCTGGTTTTTAAGAGAATGCTCAGAACTTTGAACTCTGGGGAATGTGACAAAGGGATGCCAAGACTAGATGGGGGCCTTGGTACTTTATTTTTACTGATACCTCATCTCTAAAGTTGTATGTCTTGAGAGAGGCTTATTCATTCCTGTGGTCAAAGAGAGATGAAATGCATAAGCCTGCCTGGTTTGGTGCAGAGTCTTAATCTTCAGCTTCCTGGCATGGAGAGAGAAAGTAGAAAATACTAGTTGGATCTTGTATAAGCAGCACAGCAAACTGGCTACAAATGAATTTTTTGTAGTCTCCATGATATTTTCTCTCTTCTTTAGTAGGTAAACCCTGGGTTCTAAGAGGAGGGTTATGGCACAAGTGACAAGCTGGGTGTGGCATTACCATGTTGAGAAAAGGAAGAGATTGTCTGATAGCTATCAGTGCAGGAGTATCGCTGAGCATCTCTGATCACTGGGACACGGAGCCAAGTGTGCTGCAAAGCCAGAATTTCCAAAAAGCTTTTCCTTGATTGTCTCTATTTTTACATCTAATCTTTAAAGCCAAAAAAAAAAAAATCTCTGATTTACGTTTCCCAAAGCAGGGCCAAGTGAAGAAAGGGGATGAATATAAGAAAGAGGATGGAAAGACAGGATATTACCATAGAGAGGAAATCGGGAGGACAAACAATCACATATTTGGAAGCTGACTGAGCTGAGAAATTATCCTCATTTGGCCTCGTGTGTCAAAGTTATAGTCCTAACAGTTACAAAATAAACCTAACTCCCCAAAGCTACAGACCCCAAACTAGTAGGTTGGTAATGCCTCTGTTGGTAAAGCCAACAGGAATCTCACACTGAACTCACCCAAAGCGAACTCTTGACTTCCTCAGACTCATTTCTCTCCATTACCCGTCTACACCTTGGCAACAGTATCACTGCCCAGTTAGGCCCCAAGCATAAGAATAATCCCAGGTGCCCATCATGGCTTATCCTGCTCCAAGTCTAACTCACCATCAACCCTCACTTCCTTCTCTCTCAAATGCTTTCCTTTACTCCAAGATTTTGTCACATGTCAGTCAGAGGACAGCTGCCTACAAATCTCACAGCAGAGAGGGAAGTATAATGTAAATCATTATTCTTTGGTGAAAATCCTATAACTCAATCCTATGTTGAGTTAGAATAAAATCCAGTTGTCTACGCTGACTGACCTTCAGAAACCTCCTCCGGCCCCCAGACTGGCCTCTACCAACTTGTGTGGGTTTCTCCACTACACCTCTCCCCCATGCTTCAGCTTGTCAGCCTTCATCGTCCTGTGTGCATAGGCTAAGCTATTCCTCCTTTTTTGCCATGGATTTGCTGCACTCTCTTCCCAGAACACTCATATTTAGCTTTCCAAGGATGGCATCTTTTTTCTTTACATCATTGAAGGTTTGATTCAGAGAGACTCTCCCTAACACTCATGACAGAATCCATTCCTGCTTCCATGTCTTTAGAACACTCACCCTCCTGTCAATGGATTCTGACTTGCTTGCCTACTTGTTTGCTAGCACTTGTGCTGGCTGGTTGGGGACAGTCATCAGAAAGGGGAACACAGGCATGCTCCCATTAGTAATGCCTGAAGCTTTCCACTCACTCATCTTGCCTACTACCTTTGGAACACATAAGATGACAGCCAAACTTAAGTGACCATTGTAGAGGGAAGCAAAGAGAAACTCAGAGTTAGTGACTTATTCTATCCAGATCCACTGAACCCCTAAATGTTTGTTCTCAACCCCAAGAGTCACTGCCTGTTCTCAGGATGAAAAGGACAATAGGATCCTCAGAGCTCCTCCTCCAGAGGAAGTTTTAAATGAGTGGTTTTTATATTGCAGCTGGAAATGTTGAAGATGAGACAGGAAACATATCACTGACTTTGGAGGCTGCTAGCAATGTGCTATAGTTGGTAGCCACGGTTTACTCCAAATCCAAGACATAGTTTCAACTTATGCTTCAATATAGAGACCCAATATACATATACATAAAAGTAAAAAAACCACTGAAATTATAAAAAGTAATATTAATAAGATATGCTGTGAAGCTTATACAAGTTTGATCCTGACCCCTTAAATAAATTTTAAAGCTTTCTTGGGCCTTTTTTGCTTTTAAGTATTTTTTATATAAGCTTTAGTTGACAAATGCATGGATTTAGTTAACAAGTGATGGATAATACAAAGTCGCTAAAGGCTGGAATCTTTGCTATAACCCATAGACACTTCCTTTGTTTTCAC